AAGAGTCACAGACCTGAGCGGCGATCTGCTGCGACCCTGGAGGACCAACAATCGATGCAACGGAGACGGAGACACCAACCAATACATAGAGATCATAGCGGCGATCAGCTGCGACCCTGGAGGACATGAAAGATCGACCATAGCGGCGATCAGCTGCGACCCCGGAGGGACCACAACACCCGACCAATCCGAGCACAACCGATACTATTTGCTCCTGAGCGGCGGTTTGCTGCGACCCTGGAGGACCCAAGACAGAGACCATGGCCCCTGACCCACGGGCTCGGGGCCAGGCCGAGGGGAGAGGCGTTGCTTCCCCTCGCCGCCCCCCTCTCGGGCCAGGCGAGCGCCCCCCGCCCTTGGCCCCAGGGCCCGCCAGACGTACTGTCAGACGTCTGTGTGGTTGCCCCCCCCTCCCAGGGCCGCCCGTGCCCCTCGCTGGTCGCGGTTTGGCTCATCACTCTCAGCGGCGGTTAGCTGCGACCCTGGAGGGCCACGTGGTGTGCGTTGGCGTTCCCGGAGTCTTGGGCGGAAGTGCCAAGCGACGGACTGGGCCAGACCTTGCGCCCGTTGGCTTCGTGTCTACCACAGCGCAGCTCCCCCCAGGCGCTTCGCCCTATGGCCTCGGCACGCATCGCTCGCACAGGCGCCACGTGCCCCGGGAGGTACAGCCCGTCCTGTTCTCTAGGGGATTCGCCTGCTCTGGTCTAGTTTCGCCTTCAGGGCATCACTACCACCAGTGCAGCTCCCTGTGCTCTTCCCCGCTGGCGATGCTGTCCACGCTAGCTCGCTTCCCCCCCCCACTCAGAGGCCTGACGCCTTGCCGGCACGCGCTGCGAGCCTCACAGTCGCTCGGTTCCCCCCTGCGCCGCGGGGTGGTCTGACAGGCGTTGGCTTCGCTACGGAGTGGTTCAGCCTTCCGCAGCAGGTGCAGCATTCCAGGCTCGCCTTCAGCGTTCCCCAGTTGCGTTGCACCACGGCTCACGACTGTTCAGCCTTTCTGGCTACCTCAAGTCGCCCAGGCGTTTGGAGCCTGGCGCCCCACTGGCTGGCCTCCCACTTGCCCCCACTCAGCACGACGGATTTGACCTTCCTGGTTTACGTCTCCACTGTGTGGGTCGTGCCCCCACTTAGATTGGCGGGCTTGGTTTTCCCGGTTCGCGTCTCAGACTGTGACAGGCACCGAATTCCATGACATATTGTCTTTGCACGTGCACGAGCTTTCAGGATCAGGACGCCTGCGGCGTCAGCTCCCCGTGAGCTTCGCAGCTGCTTTGTGATCGGGCCGGCCGGCCTGTGCCTGTCGTAGCTAATTAGCCTCGCTCGTGCCCCAGACTTTGCTTTCGCTGCCTGACCCTTGTCGAGCGGCCGCGACCGAAAAAAAGCATCCCCACCAGCGCACGCTGGCAGTTCGACTCAGTCCCACTTGCCCTTGCCACCCGCCGGTCCGCCGCTCGGTCGCCGCGCGAGGCCTCGGTGTTAGCCGCGTTAGGCGTGGCCCGTTCCCGCTGCCGTCGTTTAATTCGTCGCTGCGTAGCCCGCTTTGACCTGACTCGCCGCCGGTGCGCTCGCCCGCGGCCGCTGATTAAAAAATACCCCCACCAGTCCCTGGCAGCCTGCAGCCCACTGCCCCCCCCCATCGGCCCCTTTCTGGTCTCGGCCTGAGTTGCGGCGGTAGGCCTGCTCGTGCTAGGTAATGCAGGACCTCGCGCGGCCCGCTCGGACCTTGACGCGCCGTCGGCGCGCTCGCCTGCGGCGGGGTACAAAAAAGCATCCCCACCAGCCGAGAAGGATGTTCATGCACCCCGCTTGGCAGTGCCCCGATCAACGGCACCCTCTCCTGAGCGGCAGCGAGGCCCGCCTCCTGTCTGTTCCTCCTCCGCCGCCCCCTGGTCCCTTGTTTTTCCTCTCGTCGCTTGTTTCCCTCCTCCCGGTGCGCAATTCGTTCCTAGCCCGTTGCTGCGGCTTTAACGGCCTTTGGCACCTCAGGCGCGCTCGCGATCAAAAATTATCCTGGCGAAGGACCCAACCATAAGCAATTGTTCGCAACGCGTTGTGGGTGCCGCTTTCGGCGGGGTTCCCTATGGGGCCACGAAACGCTGCCTTGGGTGGGGGAACCGCATGCGAACTGCGCCACTGGGGCGGGCCTTTGGTGGAACTCCCTATGGGGTCACGAAATGCTGCCCTGGGCGGGGGAAGCGCATGCGAACTGCGCCACTGGGACCTTCGGTGGAGGGCCCTATGGGGCCACGAAGCGCTGCCCTGGGTGGGGGAACCGCATGCGAACTGCGCCACGGGGGCGTTCGGTGGAGCTCCCTATGGGGCCACGAAGCGCTGCCCTGTGCGCCACTGGGGCCTTCGGTGGAGCTCTCCAGGGGCCACGAAGCGTTGCCCTGGGTGGCGAACCGCATGCGAACTGCGCCACTGGGGCCTTCGGTCGAGTTCCCGATGGGGCCACGAAGCGTTGCCCTGGGTACGGGAACCACATGCGAACTGCGCCACTGGGGCCTTCGGTGGGGCTCCCTATGGGGTCACGAAACGCTGCCCTGGGTGGGGGAACGGCATGCGAGAGCAGCCACTGGGGCCTTCGGTGGGGTTCCCTATGGGGTCACGAAGCGCTGCCCTGGGTGGGGGGGGCGCATGCGAGAGCAGCCACTGGGGCCTTCGGTGGGGGCCACGAAACGCTGCCGTGGGTGGGGGAACCGCATGCGAGAGCAGCCACTGGGGCCTTCGGTGGAACTCCCTATGGGGCCACGAAGCGCTGCCCTGGGCGGGGGGGACGCATGCGAAAGCAGCCATTAGGGCTTTCGGTGGAGCTCGCTATGGGGCCACGAAACGCTGCCCTGGGTGGGGGAACCGCGTGCGAAAACAGCCACTGGGGCCTTCGGTGGAGCTCCCTATGGGGCCACGGAACGCTGCCCTGGGTGGGGGGGCCGCATGCGAGAGCAACCACTGGGGCCTTCGGTGGAGTTCCCTATGGCCCTATGGGGCCACGAAGCGCTGTCCTGGGTGAGGGGAACCGCATGCGAGAACAGCCACTGGGGCCTTCGGTTGAGCTCTCGATGGGGCCACGAAGCGCTGCCTTGGGCGGGGGAACCGCATGTCAACTGCGCCACTGGGGCCTTCGGTGGCGCTCCCTATGGGGCCACGGAACGCTGTCCTGGGTGGGGGAACCGCATGCGAGAGCAGCCACTGGGGCCTTCGGTGGAGCTTTCCATGTGGCCACGAAGCGCTGCCCTGGGCGGGGGGAATGCATGCGAGAGCAGCCACTGGGGCCTTCGGTGTGGCTTCCTATATGTTTAGGGCCACGAGACGCTGCCCTGGGTGGGGGAACCGCATGCGAGAGCAGCCACTGGGGGGCCTTCGGTGGAGTTCCCGATGGGGCCACGAAACGCTGCCGTGGGTGAGGGGACCGCATGCGAGAGCAGCCACTGGGGCCTTCGGTGGGGCCCCCTATGGGGCCACGGAGCGCTGCCCTGGGTGGGGGAACCGCATGCGAGAGCAGCCACTGGGGCCTTCGGTGGAGCTCCTTCTGGGGCCACGAAGCGCTGCCCTGGGTGGGGGGAACCGCATGCGAGAGCAGCCACTGGGGCCTTCGGTGGAGCCCCCTATGGGGCTACGAAGCGTGTGAGGGGTGTGCCAAGAGCAGAGGCAAGGAGGGGGAGGAGGGAGGAGGCAGGGGGCAGCGGGAGGAGGACACGCGGGGCACCGTCTCTTCAAAACGAGGACCCAACACCACAGGATGGTTGGGACCAAGTATCCCCACCAGCCCATTCAGAAACAGAACCTGTGAGAGGACAGGAACAGGGACGAAGCGACACATCTAGGGAGACAAAGCGAGCAACCAGGGTGAAGCGAGAGATCTCTGGGAGCAAGGGGCTTGGCCTTGGAATGCCTCTTCGGGCCATCCCTGGGGGCCGCGTGGGGGAGAGGGGAAGAGGAGGAGGACCAGGAGGAGGAGGAGGAGGAGGAGCACGAGGAGGAACATGATGACGAGGACGTGGATGAGGACGAGGACGAGGAGGACGAGGACTAGGATGAGGACGACGCGGACGAGGACTCATGGAACCATCTAGAGGTATTATAGCGGTTGCTGCTGCTGTTGCTGGTGCTCTCTGGGAGTTTGGGGTGTTCTTTTGGAACCCTCTTGGTAACCCTGGAAGGCTTCTTGGGATCATCCTGGAGGCCATTGATTACAGGATGGGGGGGTCCCCAACTCAGCTCCCCTCTCAGGAGCCCGCACATTGCTTCTTGGGGCTCTGTTGGAGCGCTCTTGGAGCGGTCTTGGGGCCGTTTGGAGCATCTTGGGGGCTATCTTGAGCCAGCTTGAGCTATCTGAGCTATCTTGGAGGTCATTTTGGGCTCTCTGAGACCGCTCGGGGGCCTCTTGGGGGCCTCTCGGGTGCCTCCTGGGGCCCTCCTGGGACTCTCTTGGAGCCATATTGGGGCTCTCTTGGAGCTCTCTTGGGAGCCCTGGAGCGCCTCGTGGGGCCATCTTCGAGGCCATCGATCAAAGAAGGAAATACCCCGATCGAGGCCCCCCCTCGGGGGCCACGATCCTCGTGAGGGATGGCAAAAATTGACCCTCCCAGGGGCCGAAAAAGAGCCCTCCAACCACCCGCGACCCCCCCCCAAAAAAAAAAGTCCAGGGGAGGGGGTAGGGGGGGGGATATACCCCTCCCCGAAGGGGAAGAGGGTTTTTGGAAGAGGGGGGAAGAAATCACATCGTTAGACCACCTACGCCCAGAGGGCTGGTGGGGTTGGTATGCACGTTCGCAGGCGTACGCACATACAAACATTCACATATGCACATCATTGTGTGTACAGTGTGTGTATGCGTACACAAACATATACACAATCATGGATGTGCGTATGGCTACACATGCCTACACACATCCACCCACAACGAGGAGGAGGAGGATAAGACGGAGGAGGGCCAATAGGAGGAGCTGCATGAGAGGGGCCGGAGTGGCCGCGCCTGCTGGCCCCTGGGTGGGCGCCAGGCCCCCCGTGCCTGCACCTCAGCGGCCTGCCCGTCGGCGCTTTGACCGAGGAGCCACCGCCGCATGAGCGCAGGAGGAGGAGGATGAGGAGGAGGAGGAGGAGGAGGAGGAGGCTCTGTCCTTAAAATCGGCGGCGAGCGAGGTGGGAACATGAGAAGGAGAAGGCCTTCTCAGAGGGCGGCGGGGCTTCTCAGAGGGCCCAGAGGTTGTTTGCATCTTCCAGGACAACTCAGACCACTTCTCACAAGGCCGAGGGACTTTAAAGCCTCCTGGGAAGGCCTTCTCCTTCTTACTCCCCCCCTGCTCTCGCCGCCGATAGAGGACTTCATATTCATTGCGAGAGTTGGCCCATTAGAAGACAACCGTCGGGGAATCTTCAATCGTGCCAACAAAGCGTTCCTTGGACTTCAACGCGGCGGATGAACGTGATTGTTGCGTCCTGACAGTCCTTTATCGTGCCAGAACACCATATCTGGGACTACAGCATTGCGAATGAACGCGATTGTTGCGTCCTGACAATCCGAAATCATGCCCGAAAGCCGTCCCTGGGATTTCGACCATACCAACCCCTAAAACTGCTGCAGACTTTCAAGATGAATGGGCGCGGCGCTAAGGCGAGAGTCACATTTGGAAAACCATCTGCCCTCCATCCGTGCAAGTGATGCAGATGTTTGAGACCAACGAGGGGAGCCACATTCCGAAAACGACCCGCCTTCATCCAGATACTTGCTGCTAGCTTTTGAGTCGGATGTGCGCGGCATTGGAGCGAGGCCACAGTTTGGCACCCGCCTTCCTTCCATGAAGTTGTTGCAACTGTCAAGCTTCAGGGATACGAATGGCGATGACATCTCATGCGAAATACCGGGCCCGCCCTACCAACACGCCTGAGGGTGCGACAAGGAGGAGTTACTCATAATGGCAAGGGATGGCAGAGGAGGAGGAGGAGGAGGAGGAGGAGAAGGGGGAGGAGGAGTGGGAGGGGGAGGAGGGGAAGCACGATCACGAGCAGGAACAGGATCAGGAGGAGGAAGAGGAGGACTGACATGGGCTACATTGAGGACCGTTCGCGAACGGGGCCCTCGCGGACTTCTGGAAGTTCTCACAGGCACTGGCGCACCATGCCCTTCTCACAGCGTCGCCGACCCCAGCGTGCTTAGCTGCCGAGTCCAGAGTCCTGCCGGGCTCAACCTTCTCACAACCAGTGTTGCCGAACGGAAGCCCCACACTGTAGCAGAAGTGTTCGCGGCTCCACTTCCTTTTGGAGCGGACGACGTTGGCCACCACAATCGCACACCAGTGTCGCCGATTCCTGCTTTTGTAGCTGAGACTGTTGGGCGCCACCAGTCGCCCGTACTGCCTTGAGCACCATGGTGCCCGCCAGTCGGCGGGGGTCATCGATCTTGGCTGGGCTTCGCCGGCCACGCGTTTTGCTCCTCTCGCTCCGCCTCGTGACGACGGCGGATCGCGGCACTAGGCCCTCAAAGGGCCTTGCCGCTCAGGCATCTCTCCTCCTCCTCCTCCTCCTCCTCCTCCTCCCCTTCCTCCTCCTCCTCCTCCTCCTCCTGCTCCTCCTCCTCCTCCTCCTCCTCCTCCTCCTCCTCACATGATGATGAGGAGACGCATCCTTTTTCACTCCCCTGGCCGATGGCGCCTCGGTCTCCGAGGCGCGAGCTCGCAGCCCGGTGGCCTGTCTGCCTGGGCCGCCTGTGCCCACAGGGGGGGCACGCGCCGACCAGCAATGCTGGCAAACGCGTCGCGGCCTCCCGTGCCCACTGTGGGACCGAGAGAACACGCCGCTGGAGGCCCCACCTCCTAAGGTGTGGGTGGGTGGCCCCCCCAGCAAGCTGTCCCCGCATGGGGCCTTGAGCCCAGAGGCCCACAGAAGAGGCGGCTACGCGCGCGAGCAAAACCCTTGCGGCACTAGGCCCTCAAAGGGCCTTGCCGCTCAGGCCGCCTCTCCGCCTCCTCCTCCTCGTCTTCCTCCTCCTCCTCCTCCTCCTCCTCCTCCTCCTCCTCCTCCTCCTCCTCGGTTCCTCCTCTTCCTCCTCCTCCTCCTTCTCCTCCTTCTCCTCCTCCTCCTCCTCCTCCTCAACCTCATCCTCATCCTCATCCTCATCCTCCGCAGATCATGATGAGGAGGCGCATTCTGTTCCACTCCGCTGGCCGATTGCGCCTCGGTCTCCGAGGCGCGAGCTCGCGGCCCAACAGCCTGTCTGTCCAGGCCGGCTGCCCCCCGGCGTGCTCTGGAACTCGCTGCCGCTCCACGCGCGCCGCGAGCCAGGGGCCCGCCTCGAGGGCCCTGCCCGCACTGAAGGGGGGACCCAGCCCTGCCACTACCCGGCACTCGTGCGCCTGTGGCGTTTTCGCCGTCCTTCCGCCACGACGGGCGACCACTCCTCAGCCCCGCGAGGCTCCCGCTGCGGGCTAGCCCTTGGCCTGCACAGCTGGATGAGCGACCCTGCGCCTCGAGCCTCAGAGGCCCCTCGCGGCTGCCACGCCCTTTCTTTCAGACCATGGTCAGGTCCGCGTCTGCCATTCTGCTGGCCACGCCTTGCGCCATGTCCCTCGCATCCCACAGGTAGCACAGGAACGCATTGCTGTTCCAGGCCCCCCCCATCGCTGCACCAGCGCCGTGTTTTTGAACTCCGCGTACAGCGCGGATGCTCCGCCACTCCTCAGGCTGAGGCCACAGCCGACTGCATCACCGCGCGCCGGACATCAGCTCGCGTCGCGAGCTTAGCGTCGTCGTAAGTGAAGGGCGGGTCGTACATCCTCGTCCCTGAGAACCTCTCGCGCGCCCAGCCTTCGTAGATCGTCAGCGCTTCCACGATGCATATGTGACCCTTCTCCACTGACTCAGCTGTGACCTCCACCCTGAAGTGGTTGCGCCACTCCCCGCGATTGTACTGGTCAGTCTTACTGGCCCTGAACTTGATGACGACCTCGTTCGCCTCGGGCCAGTTCCTGCACGGCTCACCTGCTGCCTTCGGGGTGACGTCGACACCTCTTAGACCCTTGCCGCTCGCGCAGCCGTTCTGGTCCCAGGACACGTGCTCGCCAGCCCTCAGCAGGTAGAAGCAGCTTGTTGCCACCGCCGCCCAACGAGCCGCACCTTCGTGGGGCCTCTCAGGCTGCAGCTTCCTCCGAATCCACCGCATCATCCTGGGGGTGGCTGCTTCTTCTGCTCGGCGTTCCCGCCTCGCCTCCTGAAGCCATCGATCGCCATCCAGAGCCTTCCTGCCCCCGCTCTCAGGTCGCCCATGCCGAGGGCCAGGTGCTGGGCGCGGACCGCGCTCAGGCACTGCTTGATGGCGCCCGCCTTCTTTGCGCCCGCGCCTGGACAGGTAGACGACAAATTCCAGCAGCAGCTCCTCCTCTCCCCTCTTGCTCGTGAGCGCGACCTCCCGCGGCGGGTTGATGCCCCGCGCACGGCAGAAGAGAGACCACCACCTCCAGTCCAAGCTGCGCGACTTGATGGCGGAGCTAGCCCCAAATGAGATCCAACTTGGCTTTCTCCCAGTCCTCGCGCGTCTTGAGGTCCGCGAGGATCAGGTCGCTAGGCTTTGCCCTGTTCTTTACGGCCTCCGGCCCGAGCAGGTTCGGCGGCTGGCGCTGCGCCAGGTCCACGCTCTTGCCCCGGCGCGTCTTCATATGAGAGGTGGACCCCGCCTGGCGCCCCTCCGCCTTTCGCGGCATCTGTGCCGCCAGGGCCGGTCGATCCACCCGCCCTTCTGGTAGGGGTAGCCCCGGGTCTTCACTAGCTTGTCAAGCTGCTCCCGCGCCTCCCCCTCCTCCGGGCACCCGCTTTTCCTGCCGCCAGCTGCCCCGCGGCCGCCGCGCCCGCCGTCGCCCGCTTCCCGATCGATTCCCTGGGCGACAGCCTCAAGTATGCAAGGATGCTTCTCGCTCCTGCACCAGCGCCGCCCGGGCCCCTGGTGTCGCTGGGGTAGCGCGCCACAGCCTCCGGGTCGATGCCGTCGCCGCCTTCTGGGCCCGAGCCGCCCTGGCCCTCGCCTCCTCCCAGCAGCGCGGGCCTGTGCCTCGTGGGGGCGGGTTGCGAGGCCCCAATCTGCGTGGCCCCCCGCCGCCTGGGCTCGGCCGCTTGCGCCCCCCTCTCGATCCGAATGGCCCTAGCGCGCATGGCGGCCATCCTCGCTGCCTCCTCCTCGGGGCTGCGAACCGCCCGCGCGCGAGGGCCCTCGCGACCCTCTCGCCCAGCTGGCGCCGGGAGGTGCTCGCGCTCGCGCCGGGGGCGCGGCGGCGCCGAGCGGGGGGCCCGCTCGGGGTCGGGCGTTCGTCCGCCCTGTCCTGAGCCGCCGACGGGCGGGCGGGGCCTGGGCCGCGGTCGCGGGGCTGCTGTGGGCAGCCTGGCGCTCGGCGACTCTGCTCGCCAAGTCCCGGCGCCTGCGCCCCAAGTGCCGCCCGCCCCTGCCATCTTCGCCCCTGATTGGGGGTCCTGCTTGACGACGGGCCCCGGCATCCTCGCCCTCAGTTTGGCGCGAGGCTCCGCCATGGCCGGGCGGGCCGCGTTCCTGCGCCCCCCCCCCCTTGGTCGCCGTTGCCTCTGCCGGCGCCCCCTCCGCCTCGTCGCGCTTCCTGCGGGCGCGCGTCTCGGGCGAGGGTGCCCGGCGCCCGCCGGCGCCGCCTCTGCCCGGCCCCGCCGCTCCGAGCGCCGGGGGGCCCGCGCCAGCGTCGGCGCCGCTGGAAGACGGCTGCTGGCCCGGCCGCGAAGCCGCCGCCATCGCCGCGATCTCGGCGGCGGCTGCCCGCGGAGGCGCCGCCTTCTGCTTCTTCTCCCTCCCCCACCCCCGCCTGCGCCTCCGCTGCCCGACTGGGGCGGTGGATCCACGTCCTGCCCGTGCGCCCTCTTCTCGCAGTGGGAGTAGTGGTTGATCCCTCCATCCGCCCAGTCCTCGCCCGCGCGCCCCCCTGCGCGCGATCTGCTCCGAGCCCGCCGGGGCCGGCCTGCCGGCGGGCGCCGCCATCGCGCGCGCGGCTCTAACCAGCGTCTCCTGCGGCTCCTGGGTCGCGGTTCGGCAGCAGCACGAGA